TACTGCTGCAATACACGACTTGCAGCCACACAATACAGCGATGAAAACATACCTGCCCTCTTTTATTGAACATGTCTGGGTGTCTACTGAGGTTTCATACGACCTGCAAACAAAATTCAATTGCTTGGGTACAGCTACAACAACTGGCCTGGGCAAGTATAGCTGCGATATTGAGGCTTCAATTGGCTCCTCATCTGCCGGACCCACGATATCCTTCAGCGGGGCGCATTTTGATCTATATGAATCAGAGATCCAGTCCTCGAAGACAGATCTATTGCCTAAATTCTACTCTGTTGAATGGAAACCTGACATCCATCTTCTTACAAATTCATTCTTCGGCCAACTCACCAAGCCGCCAACGATTGAATCCGCCAGATACGAGGTGGAATGCCAGTGGTTCACCGACCTCCAGCTGGCCTCGGCACTTCTTTCGACTGATGCGCTCCTAAGCTTGAGGGGAGCGGACCTGACCCAATTAGAACCCCATTACCTCCGGTTCTACGACCTTCTCAAACACATTGCTGCAGATATCCTGACAGACTCAATGCCAAGGGTGCCTTTCAAAACATGGCAGAAGTACGCTCAGGATCATCATCTCAAAGAACAACTCTACAGAAGAGTAGAAGCTCGCGATAGCGATGGCGCACTGTTAATGCGGGTTGGGTCGAATCTTGCATCTTTCTTCCGCAAAGAAGCCGATCCACTCCACGTCATGTTCGGGCAAGATGATCTCATGTCTCAGTACTACAAACATGACTTCGAAATTGGATCCATTTCTGAGAAGCTAGCACTCTACCTGGATCTCTTCCGGTGGTATAAGTCCAATCTTCGGGTCCTCGAAGTTGGGGGCGGAACGGGATCATTCACAGCGCATGCGCTCGCCAATCTCTGTCCGCCGGGTATAGACAGGTCAGTGTCGGAGTACGTGTTCACTGATCTCTCGCCAAGTTTTTTCGCGAAAGCGAAGGAGTCACTGAATGAGTGGGACGATATCATGACGTTCAAGAAGTTTGACGTTGGGAACGACCCCATATCCCAGGGGTTCGATCCAGGAACATTTGATCTGATTGTGGCAAGTAATGTACTTCATGCAACTCCCGATCTTCATGGGACATTAAAAAATATTCACAGTCTTCTGAAGCCCGGTGGAAAGCTGGTGTTCCATGAAGGTGTCCGCCAAGATACTTTGTGGACCAACATATCGTTCAGTCCGCTGTCAGGCTGGTGGCTGAGCACCGAGCCTGAGAGAAGATGGTGTCCCTATGTGCCAACAAGTACATGGGATAGGTATCTCCGTGAGACTGGCTTTTCCGGGCTGGACTTGGAGTTCCCGAGCTCTGATTATTCGGAGTTTTCAAAGATCAGCCTTATGGTCTCAACTGCTAGAGAAGAAACCAATATCTCTCCGAGAGAGACGAGCGGTGTTATCATCATCATCGCGGATGATCAAAGCGCTACTCTGGCCCATGAGTTCCAGGGCCAGATAGGATATCTGGAGCCTCATTGCTCCATACACACACTGGCTGAAGTGGAAGCTGTGGATGTGCTAGACAGGACATGTGTGCTGTTCATGGTGTTCAGTCCTCCTATCCCAACAGATTCGAACATTGAATCATACAACAAGCTAGAAAAGGTCCTCTCCAAGGGCAAAAAGATTCTGTTTGTCACTGGAGATTCAACAGATAACCCAGCATTTGATATTCCAATCGGACTCATTCGAAACAAACGAATGCAACAGGACTCTGACAACTCGAACCTTGTTACGGTTTCGTTGACCGATACAGAGATGATCTGGAATACAATTTCCGAGCCCTTGGTCAGAGTTTTCAAGCACCAATTTCTGTCAGGTACCGTGCCTACAATCAGAAATGCCGAGTATCGCCTTGCACAGGGGGTCATTCTTACGAACCGTGTAGCTCTCAACGCCGATGCCAATTCCACCATTGGGGGTCGACTATCAACACCACGATCAGTTCCGCTTACGTGGGGCGACATAGATCGGCCGATTAAACTCACATGCCATGGCCGTTTCGTCTGGGAGACCGATAACCTTCTCTCCGACACTTTGCTGGGTGAGACTGAAGTGGACTTGGACGTTAAAGCCATTGGGCTTGGCTCTCGAGACGTCCTAGCAGCGACAGGAAGTCTTCCTCAGATGACCCTGGGAGAGGAAGCTTCTGGGGTGGTAACCAAGGTCGGATCATCCGTTAAAGATCTTCAGTCCGGCGACCGCGTCATGTGTATCGGTGACACTCAAGCAGGGAGAGAAGGAACGCTGAGGACAGGAATACGGATAAACTCCTCTCTGGTCACCCGCATCCCCGACAGCCTTACCTTCGAAGCTGCTGCCGGATTACCTGTCTCTTGGCTGGCAGCGATCTATTCTATCAGCTATGCCGGTAGGTTGGTCACTGGGGAGAATATCCTGATTCACTCTGCTGCGAGTAGTATTGGTCAAGCGGCGATCCAATATGCCCAGTCTCTCGGTGCAAAAGTATTTGTGACTGTCTCCAACGTCGACGACAAACATTATGTCGCACGGAAGTATGGGGTTCAGCGAGATTGTATCTTCTCCAGCCGTCCTACTTCCTTCCCGGCCCAGATCAAGCGACGAATACCGCGTGGGATGGATGTCATCATATCAGATCTATCCGCTGGGACTACTCAAGGTTCAGTGAGCTGTCTGGCACCTTTTGGCAGACTGATAGCCATCAGCAATGACGGGCTGCAGTCAGTCCAGAACATCTCTGCCTCGTGCAACACGGATAACATTACGATATCAAAAGTGAACCTCAGTTCTATCGCCAGGAGCCGCCCAGCAACTATCCAAAATATTTTCCGAGAGACGATGCAGCTAATGGAGGAACATAAGATTCGTTTTGAACCTCCGAGACGAGTTCTGACGTACAGCCAGTTACATCGGGGTATCGAGATGCTCCAGAAGGATGCAATTGCTGGGAAAATTGTTCTTCATCCTTCTGAGGATGCTGTTGAGGTTGTTCCTGGAATTCCAAGACCGTCCCAGTTGGAACACAATGCATCCTACCTCCTCATAGGCGCATCAGATTCTTTACATTGCAAGCTCGCTCTTCGGACGGCAGATCGAGGTGCTAAGAACCTGATACTCTTGTCTCGTGCACGGGGCTTGGATACGGGGGATACACAGCAGCAGATTCTTAATACCTTGCGAGAGCAAGGATGTGAGGCACATATATACCACTGCAACATGTCTGAGGCGTCCGAATTACAGTCTCTGATTGCCCGCTGGCGCAGTCAGCTTCCCCCTATTAATGGAATTGTCAAGTCGACATATTGCATGGGTCCTTCTAATCAGCCTGTTGCCACACGTCCAACAAGCAGCCCTAATGATATCGTCATGGAGTTGCTTAATCTGCACAATGCCATCCCATCTGTTGAGTTCTTTATCATGATCTCACCGATATCGGGGCTTACAGGGAGGGATAATGACAGCGACTTTAGCCCAGCCAGTGCATTCCAGGATGCATTAGTTCGTCATCGACTCTCACGCGGCATGCACGGTGCGAGTGTCCACGTCAGGGGCATGAAAGATGAGGAAGTCTTAGCGGCAGTCGACTATATGACGGATATTAGAAACCCTCCCACCGTGGATTCCTGTCAGATGGTCTGCAACGTCCCAACCCCAGCATCATACGAAGAAGTAGAAAAGCCAGTAGCGAGGTATTTGTCAGCCCCTTTGTTCCATCAACTTCCAAGCTTCCGTTCACGAGTGGCGAGCATGCCAACAGAATCCGCGAGAAGACCTAGTGTGGCCGACCTCCTGAACAAGACCAACAACACAGAACAGGCAGCAGCTGTCGTGTCGAGAGAGATTCGACAGAAATTGTCGCACCTTCTTAATGTCACCGAAGATGAGATCAACGAATTGCATGATGTTCGGACCAATGGGGTCGACTCATTGATTGAGATGGAGTTCCGTAATTGGCTGGATAGAGAACTCGGCACAACTATTTCGTTGGAAGATTTGACTTCAAAGAGCATATTGAAGTTGAGCGCATATGTTGTTACAGCGTCACCTCTGGTTTCATTTACCTAGTAGTGTCGATATCGGGCTGGGACAGAAAGCATGGGTATATTGGACATATACTTCTGGTGTAGCTTGCATGTGTACAAGATAGGCTAGACGGAAATAGTCATAGTTCTCGATGACTGGGTGAGCTGTCGGCATATTTTTGGCAAGTGATCAACTATTCACTCGTGAGGGTTGATTCGTTCCGGAATCACATAAACAATAGCTCGAAAGTGTGATGTTTACTACTATTCCTTCTTTATCTTTTCTTTCTAGTCCTGACCTATACATGGCTGGAAGCAGACCAAATATCAATGGATATAGATCGGAACGAAATACTAGCTGGTAGAGCAATATATATACCGACCAATTAGGAAACTTGGCTCTTAAGTAGGAGGCACTCTTGAAAGAAGGATATCTGCCAATCTATTAAGCATCGCCGTCGATGTCATCGAGCCAATATTGTGCCTGTGATGTGGAACAATACGTAGATAGACTGTTACGCAGGCAGGTAGTCGACAGGCAAGCAGGCAAGCAGGCAGGTAGAGTTCCTAAAGGGGTATAGCCTACCTGTCCCTTCCTAGGCTTGGCATACCCCAACAAACCCTTTTTAGTGTAAATCCCCTCCAGCCCCAAGTCTATAAAACCTTGATGAAAATCAAAGATATTAAATGATCAGATAGTTCTAGATGGCTCTATATATAGGGAAACTTATTCCATATTTATATCTTCAGAAACGGATGACGTTTGGGGTGATCCTGTTTTCGTCCGCACTGTAGTTTAGTGCAACCATGCCAAGACCGCGGTTTACTATGCAGGAACCATCGTGAGGCAGGGGGTTTAGTCACTGTGCGCCAACGCTTTCCTCTGAGTTGACAAAGACTATTGACTTTGGGCTAGTAATGGCTACAAGGTCTTCCTTAAACCCTATATCTCCCCAACCTAAGACCAATCAAATACCCACACAAACCCAATACCCCAACCACAAATTTGCACAAGAAGAACCCACGTACGGATTCCACGTATTGAACTGACTCGCAGTAACACCTGCGTCCTGCTCTATTAACCAGCAATTATCCCCGTCAGATACCAAATGCCACTTCTTGCATGTATGGATCGTGTCGGGCATTGGCGCCTGCTTCTGCGTCGCCACACAGTAATAGTATCCCGGTTGCAGGTTACCGCAGTCTGACCCGACGGCGGGGTTCCATTCTTCGAAGAGGGAGGTCGTTAGGTAGGTGTATTTGTCGTTGACAATGGACCAGCAGCTGTCTCCGGATTTGGCTTCGTAGTAGGTGGAACAGTCACCTACTAGGCCCGATTGGGTGGGAGATGGAGCGTTGCTGGTGGGTGTTGTGCTGCCTACTGTTGAGATAGATGTGGAGGTAGATGTTGTGGTGGTTGCGGTGGCACCACCTGGAGTTGATTAGTTCGCCTTGAATAGAGCTCTACATGGAGAAAGTAGTTGTAGGGGCTCAGGGCATACTCACCAGAAACACCTACGCAGACCCAATAGTCAGCCTCCAGGTCACTACAGGTTGTTCCCACAGCTGGGTTCCAGGAGTAGAAGTCATTTAGGCTGATGTCCTGGTTGGTAGCGATGTCAGAGCAAGTGTCCCCGTGTTGAACATAGTAATATCTATTGCCTAGCTTGAATTAGTTCAAGTTGGCGGGAATCACATAAGCAGGGGGGTATACAGTTAGGTGCTATTCCCGTCTGCTCAGGCAGATAAGACCCAGTAGAGGTAGCTGCTAAAGCAGTAGTGGTAGCAGGAAGCGTCGTCTGCGAGGCTACTGTGGTGGATCCGGCGACACCGATGCAGACATAATAGTCCGGTTGTAGGCCGGAGCAGTCGGACTTGACGGCCCTGTGCGTCTGTTCAACCGCTGATGGAAAAAGTGTCAATTAAGTGGTGGGCACTCACGGATTCCAGGAGTAGAATTGATTAAGCGTAAAGTTGCCGTACGAATTGACAATTGCCCAGCATGAATCACCGGCTTCAACGTAGTAAAACGCGTCACAGCTCGAGCTCAGGCCGCTTTGCGTCGGGGAAGGGCTACCCGCACCGGTGGTCGTACCTGAAGCAGGTGCCGCCGTGGTAGTAGACAGGAGCGAGGAAGAGACTGTAGACACTGCCTTGGTGGATGAGACTGTGGTTGTTACTGCGGGCGCGCTAACACAGTAGCTCCATCCCTCTTTGAGTGCGCAGCTGGTAGGTGAGAGAGAAGGGTTCTGGAAAATATGAGTCCCGGCCATATTCACGATGAAAGAAAGGTCATGTTACCCAGGAAGTTAGCTGAGTGTATGTAATGCCATAGTAGCTCTCAAGGTCCGCACAAGTATCTGTTGAGCTAATGGAATTCGCCCAGTACGTACATGCACTCGTAACATTGGGGTCGGTGTCACCAGTTGGGAAGTCGCCATTATCGAATCTCTTATTGATGGCGAGGCCAGAGGCCGATGCGAAGATGGCGAGCGTGAGGAAAGACTTGATAATCATGTTAGTTGGGAAGCGGAGTCACAGAAATTTTGCTGTCATGTTTAACAGCACATGGGCAGGACTAAATATACTTTCCGCTCCACTTCCAGCAAGGGATAGGACACAGAAGGTGCGGGGTTTCGATATTACATTCAGCTGAGTCAATTCCGATGCCGGCTCTTCGTTCCTACCCTTGCCCAGCAAATTCGTCCGAGGGCTTCATTACCACTATATCACCACCTTTGCCCCCTGCATTAGTTTCAATAGTGCTACTACCTTTTGCAGAACTCCGTCGGACTCCGGGAGGTTCTAGCCGACCTTTGTGATGAGTGCCATCATAGTCCCCTTCTGGGATCCGATGGTTTGCTTTCAAAGTTTAGTCAGTTGTTTCCATTTTTTAACTGTAAGCAGCCGAACTACATCTACATACTAATAACACACTGTGAAATGATCCCTCCGGTTACGGCTATCTTCGGACTCCGAGATGGGGTCACCGTCTGAATCAACCGGCCCAGGTGGAAGATAGAGACCTAGATCTGGCTCTGGTTCCCTGGTCCCAGATGTGTCGGCTATTCCCCCAGCACAATATTTACTGTGCCACCTGTTTGAAGCCCGCTCCTCCGTCGATTTGGGGTTCAACCCGAAAGCATGCCAGTTTGCGATACCCAGATGATAGTGTAACTCGCGTTTCGCAAATGGAGCCAAAAGTGACACGGCCTCATCGAAATTTCTTTCTTTAGCGAGGTCTAAGTCTGAAGGGGCGGGGAGAAACCCTTTTTCAAGGAGAAGCCTCAGGATGTCCACTCGCTCATATAATATAGCGAAGCCGACGGCACTGTACGGAGTACCGGGAAACAAGCCAGACGGGGGATAGAGATCACAAGATACATCTTTGAGTGCGCCATTGTCAATCAGCAGTTCTGCCATTTCGTAATGACCGTCCCGAATCGCAGTGAACAAGGCTGCGGAACCGTATTCTACGAGGTCAATGTCATACTCCAGGAAGAGCTGAAGCATGCTGCGGTCATCGTTATGGGCAATGTGGCACAATGCGTCATCACCGTAAAGACCGATACCATGATCCAGGAGTATCCGCAAAATGTCAGGCCGGTTATTGCAGACAGCCTGCTCGGTTGGGCAGGGGCACTCTCGGAGCCCTGGCCGTGCCCCAATATCCAGTAGCCGAGGGAGAATAGACTTATAGCCAGCGGCGACGGCCACACCCAGCGCTGAAGGAGCGCATCTTGCCTCTGTTGCGGGATCCAAGGGTGCTTTGTGGGCGAGCATTCGCTCGACCAACTGGCCATCGTGCTGGCGCAGCGCCCAATGCAGGACCGACCGTAACTGTGCTGATGACGCTGCGTGGCCCGAACAGGTTTCAGCCAGCAGAATTCCCAGAACCTCCATGTGTCCTCCTTGAGCCGCATACAACAAAGGATTGTTCTTAGCCCAAGGATCAGCACCTGTACCCCTCCTAATCTTCCTCACTATATACCGGGCAGGAGGAACGTAGGCGGCGATATTGGCGCCCGCGGCGAGGAGTTTGTCAACCAAGAGAGCGTTTCCCTTTTGGGCAGCCCAGACCAGCGCGGAGCTGTCATCATGTTGAATATTGTATTCGCAGAGAAGAGGGTGTATTGTGTGATAGAGGCGCTTAGTCGTCTGCATAAGATGACTGATATCGCGTTGAGTAGTTAGGTATTCAGCCACCCAGCGTAAAAGTTCCAAAGGGAGGTTGGCCAGGGACGCCATCGTAGTAACAAGTTGTTTTTTCCCAAAGGAATTGGTGAAGCGGATGGCGACTCAGGAAGGGGCAACGGTCAATTATATAGGCGCCCGACCGAGGGACTAATTTAGTTGCTGCCCACTAATCAACTAACTAATTAACTAGTAGTCAACTCGCAAGGTACTAAGTAAATAGTGGTGTTAGCACGGAGCATAGTTAGTCAGCCGGGCTCTGACTCTAACCAACTAACAAGCGACATTAACTTGTGTTTGACTACACGGTTACCCCAATGACTCTACGTTGAATAATCTATATCCATATAGCACTGTCCCATGTTGCTCCAAAATCCATAAAGTGGCGAGGCCCCACACATCCCCTGCGACCAATTACAGGCGGAGTAATATAGGGCAAGGGCGAAGTACGTGATACTGTGTGGCCCAACTGTCAGCAAAAATTCCGGAACAGTTGACTAGTTGATGGTGGTCAGACTGAGTTTGAATTACCTGCCTTGCGATGAGCTCCAGCTGGATTCGCCTTCGACACCGTCCAGACGCCGATTCGTTGATATCGGGGGATGACCGGACCTTGTCGATAGGGTTGAACCGTCATGTCCCCTGAGATGGCTGAGGACATTATCAGATTTGTTAGAAGCCTTGACGAATAGTAAGATGGCAGGGCTTTCTCACCTGCCGTTTAACAATAAGATATTGCTATATGTCCAAAATATTGTGCCTTAATAATGTTAGAAACATGAATTAGATTCATACATCATGTTGGTATTGATGAATTGTACTTATTTGCGTGGTTGAGACTGCTATAAGTTAGTATTTACATGTCAGGGTCGATCACCTGGGCGGGCTGTGGGCCAACCTGCCAGGGGCTCCACCTCGACCGCCCGAAGGGCTTACGTTCTAGGCTGAAGCGTTCCTGAGACCCTGAAACTAGCGGCTTGGGGGCTGGTCCATGCTGAAAAAGCACGACCCTGATAAACAGCCCCAGGTGCAGCCATGGGGCGAGCTACTGATCTGCATTTTGGAAACAGAGGGATTTTATTTCTATTTTCAGGTTTTCTTTCTGTGGAAATGATGGAAGAGTGTAAAGGGTGAAATGATGCCAATTCAGGAGTTGAGCCGGGCTGTGTCTACTGGTTCAGGCTGGACCCCACCTATAGCCCGAAGACTAAGAACCCTGTGAATCATTACCAACCAGCCCCTCCCATCTCTTATTCTAACTCATCTTTCTCTTTCTCTCTCCCCCCCCCCCCCCCCCTTCTTCTCTTCTCCCTGAATAAATAACTGGGGTTATAGTAATCCGAACCGATTTATTTTCCATAACGATCACAATAATTGAGAAATTTTGAAAGAAAGTCATTTCCCTCAACGTCCATCCACTATGTGCAAAACCGACACTGTGCTCTCCATCCTCTGTGGAACATGGAATCTAGACTCTGAAGAAGAGATGCAAATGATATTTTACGAGAACGGCACGGGCGAAGTGAGTTTGTCTGATATCTAGACACCCTTAACTATTGCTAATAAGCACAGTTAATTCTCCGTCATATATTCAACGCGTGGATCGCTGCTGAGACTGAATGGAAGTCACTTGGCCCTCAGCCACTCGACCAGATTTCTGTCAGCGACAGCGACACTACCTCTCAAACAGAGGCACAAGTCCTAGCGCACTTCAATCTAGAAATAACACTCACAAAACGCGCCATCACAACACGCGGCTCAACAGATGACTACATCTTAAACGAAGAGAATCTCATCAACGCCGCCTTCCTCCCTAAAAGATACTCCGTCCGGTTGGAAAAAGGCTCGTTCAAAACAGCCTTCGAGCGGGCAGCGGGACCGGTGCGTCCGTGGCGCCAGTCGTATGCTTATCAGCTGGTTTTTGATAAATCGCCGTATCCACCGCTGAATGAATGGAAGGATCCGGAGGAGGCGCCTGAGCCGCCGTTTTTGCCGTTTGAGGAATGGAGGGAGTTTTGTAGTCGGGCGTTGCCGAAGGATGGGCAGGCATAGAATATGGGGTGATGTTGTAGATAGGTTGGTTATTTATGATGGTATGACGGTATCATCTATAAACCGTGTCTTCACTGCATAAATAAACAGTTATCTATATCCTCTCCAACAAATGCATCAATGACAGCCAAAGTGCCACTCCGAACAACCTTAATAGCCTTGCATAGTACACCCTCCAGCCCCAATACCTTACTAACTCTAGCTGCATGGATATGCCCATCACTAGCAGCTCTAGTAATTCTAGTGTAATCAAGACTAGGGTCGAAGGAGATATTCAGTTCATGATTATTAACTCTAGATCCTAAGCCATCTAGATAGACAAGGAGCATTAAGCATCTAGGTACATTCCAGCCTATCTAATAATCAGTAAAGGGGCAAAGTATCAAGAAGGAAGATAGGTACCTTTATTATTAAGCACAGTAATAAAAATATGAATTCCATATCAATACAAAATCCAGTATACATTAAATAGAATACTAAATAGAATAATACCGCCACTAACAATCTACACAACCTTGTTCTTTTTCTTTCTATCTAGCAAATCATTACCTACTCTGAATAGAACAGTCAGTATGACCATGAGGCATCCGGCCATGACACCAAATCCACACGAAGTGCCCTTACCATCACCAGTCCCCCTGGATCACACCCTTCTATCTCCCAATATCAATGCCTTCGATTCAAGACTCTGCCATGTCGGATGATTCGCGTCCAATCAATCAGGGGGTCAGTCCCTCATATTTAAGATAATAGATTCACCAAAGTACTTGAACCTATGAGTCTATATCCCTCAAAATATCCAGACAGGTAGGTAGGCATGGTCACATTACGGCCTACTTGTTGATGCACGGACTCGAAACGGATCTTGCTGACACAAATCTCCAAAATAAGATGACAGCAGACAGGGAGGGAGAGCTTAAATTACTGGAGGCAAAAAGCGACGCGGAGAACCAACAGCCAGTGGCAGTTAGCGACGAAAGCCCCATGCTGTCGGACCTTAAAATGGCACTGTCGGTTGGTATGGACTGAACGATCCCGAGAAGCCTCGGTATGTATCACGGCCAGGAATTCTGGGACGTAGTGTTTCATATTTTATGAAGCTTGAGCCACTTGGTAATATCACTGACAAAGTTATATGCAACACTAATAGGGGTGACCCGTTCTATCACGCCTTTCATCGTTACCTGCCCGTGGACATGACAAGAACCAGCTAGGGCTTTGTGTTTGGCGTAAGGTACATCGACCATATCGGCAGCCTTAGAATCAAGCGCTCGAATGATATGTGACGGATATAAACTTTGACTATGTCTATGTACTCAACAAGTATAAAACCTACTCTCTGCACCGTATCTCAGGTCTTCTTTCGCAATTTAAGTCCCTTCATCAGCCATGGGTCCATCAAAAGCTCTACAGCAGTCGGACGATCTTCAGGGTTCCATTGCAAGGCCAATCGCAACCATTTTAAGAACCCTTCCACATCTTCACCTTGGATATCGGCGGCTAGCTTCTCGAATGACCGGTCAGGTATAGGCACTAGATTTTTCCAGTTCCCCGATTCATCCCAGAAGACCCAGCTCATATTCGCTTTTTTCAAGAATTCGGGTGACGGACGCCCAAGCAGTGCTACAAGTTCCGCGATATGAGCTCCGTCGTCCCAAGTATCGTCTACAACCTTGCCATCGATAATCGTTTTGGGGCTGACAATGTCCCAGGCCTTCCAACATGGGTAAGTATCATGTGAGAGGCGAACAAGGAATGACGCAGTTACTCACCACCATTCCAACACTCCAAATATCCACCTTATAATCCCAATTGGATTTGAGAATCACTTCAGGGGCGCGATAGTATTCTGGCATGATATTATCACACTGTTCCTCTTCACCAAAGCGGGCTTCGCCTAAGTCACCAAGGAGAGGGAGGCCATCTCCGGCAGGAAAAGGTGGGCTTGTATAGATTGTTTGATCTTGTAGAACTTTCCTGGGTGCTGGCCTGGTGAAGACTTGCTCTTCGAAATCAGACAGTACCTCGGGTGAAGGGGCAGGGAGGAGGAGATTTTTGAGTTGTAGATCTTTATTGGGATTAGAAATGCAGGAGGGTCTATACAGCAAGAATAGGTTGTACCTGTATGTATGAGGTGTGCCACAGAATGCAGAAAATCAAGAGCACCCAGAAGTTGGCGAATGGCCGGTTTCATACCTTCGAGGGTCATTCGGTGGCCATGTTTGAGCTGTAGGAGATCGGATGTATTCATCCCCAGAGCTTGGTGGACCAGACAAAGATGGCGGCCTTGAGTGTTGTCTATGTAGAAATGGTCACATAGCTTGCGAATATACTTCTTGCCAGGATGGTCCGTGTCGATAGAGTTGATGTGTGTATAAACATTGAGTTCATGTTCTCTTCCTTGGCCAGAGACATATATCTTTAGAATGACATGGGTAGATTCACTGGTTACTCAGTATTGGTGACTTGTAGAAATTGTCAGGATAACATACAACAAGTCACGAGCAAACCAAACTGTGGAAGTTACCCCAAACCCTACTTTAGCGATGGCTTGGTATCGGTCGTTGAAAATCTCTCCCTCTTGGACAGGATAATATTTTTGGGGAGAATATGTTGGCAGCCTTTCCTCCTCAATCTTAATTCTCGGATCAAGAAGCTCGAATCCCGACGTCGGGAATGTCCGCGGTGAGCATTTCCAATTCGATGATGACATAACTGTCCTAGAGAGTGATCGGGTATGAAGATAGGGGACGAAGGGGGGGATTCGGGTGATTGCCAGAATTGAGAAGCGCGATCGAGTCAAGGTACGGGAGTATCCTGAGCAATTGCTCCAAGGATTTGGCATAGTTACAGATCTAAAGTAAGGGCCACTAGAAGTTGTGCTTTATAAATAGAACCGCAATAACATTTAAAGTCTTTGGCGCGACAGTCAAGATGGTTTGAGTCCGCCGTGATCCAGCATGTGATGGGGTTGGCAGTCATTTAGCCACGTGATTGCGCCGCCATCACCTGATAATACATACCCTCGAGCCTCCAGGAAGCGACCTTCGAGTGTAGTACGGGACAGAGTGAACGCGATCGTCATCGCGCATCTTAGACTGTTGTCATTTGGTCTCTATTAACCTCGCAGACGTGCAAGATCAGCTTGAAACAAATCACATCATAACCATGTACAGACGATCGGGACAAACCGACGCTTACGAGCTCTCAATAACACTCCGCAAATCGATTCATCCTCTCCATGTAATACCATGCGCAAATGTGGCAATGTGGCATCTGGGTGTACCTATTCTTCTTGGGGTAGCGTATATCTGCAACAGTTAATCATGGCTTTTTTGTTACTTTTTTTTTTTTTTTTTTTCCTTCAACTATGTCTCCCATTATCGCTATAGGTCCCCATGATTGTGGTGCGAGATGGGGACTACATCGCTGCCATACAAAAACCCGAGCTTGCAGGATTCACCAAAAGTGCTCCGAATCGAGCGCCTGCCCTTGAAATAATGGAGACCTATCCCAACGCGCAGCAAATGCTCGAAGAAATCAACGCGGGCTACAGACGCTGGGATTGGTCTTGTATCGTGTTTGATTATCCGCGTGATGGCCGAACAGAGGGATATATGCAGCTTTATTTGCTCCCTGATTCTTTTGCCCACGTATTTCCAGACAGTCAAGACCCTTCGTTTCAGGTAGAAGGTACAGCGTTGACTCAACATTTTCAAAAATACGGCAATTTGGACTACGCGCTGGTATCTGTGCTAATGGAAAGCTTGGTCAAGGCTGCTATAGATGAAGAATCGGAGATAGGGTTTTCTGCATGGGGGGCAAGACTGTGATCTTGGAAATCTGAAAGGATATCTCGAACATTCTGATGACTGCCCGAATTAGCAAGCGGTGGGGTGGCATAGTGTTAATTTCTGTCGGAAATATGAGGCTAAACATGGCCCTATGGATCGCCGCGTTTCCAAGTGTCCTCGCTCAGGAGGGGAGATGTCTGCGGATATGAGAGTTAATCCACTTTGAACACTATGCAGGATTTAGCCAAGCATGGGAAGTGTTTCACCTATCTTGATGTGTATTTTATCTCAATGTTATGTATACGTCCGGATTAGGATGGTGATCTGTTGCAATGCGGCGGAGCGGAGACGCGGTGTTACGACGCGGACTAGATAGTACTTCGATACAGAGCTCAGGCCGTCAGGACAACTGTTCTAACTGAGCTTTATCTCTGCATTTAACCCTCATCGAATTCTGAACAAGCACATACGACCACAGGGTGTGGAAAACAGGGCTTCCCGTCCGCTCAGCCGTACTTAAGCCACACGCCGGGAGGTTAGTAGTTGGGTGGGTGACCACCAGCGAATCCCTTCTGTTGTATGTTTTTATTTTTTTAATTTTGACCCTGTAGGTTAAGACTATTGAGCCTTTCGACCTATTGATGCACATGTGACTGCAAAAAAAAAAAAAAAAAAAAAAAAAAAAAAAGGAGAAAACGATTCAAAGACTTTAAACACATGTTGTTGGCATGTAGTCTTCTGGTACCAGCATCCGGGTCTGAAGTAATTTGCGCCTATAATCGTCATATAAACATTTTACTTCGAGCCTTCTTGGAAATGCCACTAGCAACTTAAACACAGGACATACTTGAATGTATTCAAATTGGAGTGCCTGGGAGTCAGGGAACCAAAGTTTCGGTCTGATAGCAACTGAAAACAGGTTCGGCCCGTCGACGGGACGGATCGCTCCGGAACCAAGCCTTTGATGTTTTTCCTCGACTACTTTCTTCAATTTATTAGAACTCTTACACACATATCTTCATTAGATAGCCCTCTACGACGTACAATCGAGCGCTAACCCTGGCTCGCCTCATCACAGCTGCCAGGCGGCCCGCTTGCATGTTTTACATCATCCTCCACAATATCGTGATAGAGGGTAAATGGAGCAACACTGCCTTAGTTGGTATATTGTGCACCGAAACTCATTCTCCCTCCAGCCCAACATCCAGCAGCAGGCTGATCACCTCTTTATTATCCCCTTGTCTCGCCGCCCACATGATAGACCGCCCCTTTTCATCCTTGAACCTGGTGCTGGCTCCCTTGTCTAGCAGATACGCCACAGAATCTCTCTGGCCCTTAAAGGCTGCTCGATACAGTGCAGTCCCCCATACATCCCCTTCCACACCACAATTGAACCACCACCCGCGGGCCTCCTCCAAATCTGCGCCATGCTCTACCAGTAACTTCAGTGCTTCCATATTGCCCATTTCAGCTGCCGCAATATGCGCGACACTACCCTTCTTGTTCCATCCATGTTGTAGTACAAGATGGAGAATCATCAGAGATGGCCTCTCACCCGCTTACGCAGCCACGCTCGGTTCCATATCATCATACCCTGCCCAGGAATCATTTGGATCCTGTCCATTTTCCAAAAGGAAGCGTACAATGTCAATATTACCCTCGTATGCTGCCAGGCTCAGAGCATCACCTATGTACTCACTGCGATGGCCATTTAGGTTGAAGCCATTCTTGACAACTCTTTTCCACAACCCAAGTGATCCAGCGGCGCATACTTGGAAGTAGAACTCGTCATTTAGTGTTTCAAGAGGTACCTGGAAACCTTCAGTGAATACCCAGTCTATAATGTCAAGCTGAATGTGCTTTGCAGCGAGTGCAGCGATCTGTTCTAGTAGACTGGGCTGTCCATCTGGGTCTGTTAACTGGTAAAGTTCCCTGACGGCCGAGAGTTTGCCATTGGCGATGTCGGCCTCGAGACTCTGCTGGATCTGGCTTTCCAGCGTCAAGGACATGGTGGAATGAATATGGAAAAACGACACAGTGAGAACTTGAGAAGAATAGCTGAGGACGTGAGTTACACGAAGTGAAAATAGCCCATGGACTATGTGCAGTATTTGTGTGGATTGCTGAGAGTGTGATATGTCGGCTGTCTCTCCGTCTAGCCCAAAGATAGAACTGTACGAAAAACATATGATATTCTCAACAAGGCTCTCCCATGGGATTGTTTCTACGTCTGTGGAGGTTAGATGCGCTGTAAGGAGGTATCTGTCGGATTGCCACCCCTTCATCGTAAGATTGGCTTAGTCAGGCTGTACAGCGCTAGCGGGGCTATGGCACCATACCGTTTAGTTTGGGGGCTTGTCCGGTGACTGTACTGATAGACAACCCCCTCCCCAAGAGATCAGGATGTCGAGATGAACACCATGTAAACTGCAAGTACACGAACGGATTTGGGATTTCTGATTCGACGGGTTCATTGAGTACCCATAGACAGCATATATTCAAATCGGTTTACGAAAGAGCCCTGCTAGAAAGTTTCAGGGTTCCTAAGACTGACTAGCCAGGCCAAGAGTGGGCAGTAGAGAGATAAGATCATATATTTCGATACCACATTTGCCAGGTCGTAATGTGGTCTCTCATGCCCATTAGCATGCGTGATATTCGTACATATGTTCATGTTTCTTGAATGCCTTTCAACTTACGGCTCTGGACTGGAATATCATGGTAATGGTATCTAACCACAGCATTGTCCTATAAGAAGACTTTGGGTTTTCCATGTTCCATGGATTTCAAGGGCACAAGACATTGATAATATGGCTGCAGGGCAGTTGGTATGGTGTTTTCTATCATTTTGTTCATCATGTACTCAGTTGTAGTACTCCATTGGTGAAAAGAAGCGAGAATTGTTCTGGAGCTACCATAGGGAACCTGCTAGTAGTAGACAAATCGGTATTTATCAGGAAGGGGACTGCGAAGAGATAGCTTTTGATATGTGGGGCAGAACAATGAATTCGGAAAGTCACAGAAGGGAGTGGATCCCGGCGAGCTGAAAATGGGACCCACATATAACTCTTCATGGTGGAACTCGACTAAGTTTGAAGCTTAAGAGCAGTGGGGTCAGATCCGCTCCTCCACTGGGGTGGTATCCCAGAGGAAGTCTTGGCACTCACAAATCAGGTGTGTTCAAATGGATAGCATGCGGCCGGTCATGCTGATATTGGTCTCACAGACAAGAGGAACGAATAAGAGGAACCCTCGCCTGAGATGAACTTAGCAGAGGCGTAGGTCGGGTAATAACGCAATGGTCGGAGAGATGTATTTGGGCATCACGACGTGAATGTGTGTTTAGTATCAGTTTTTTATGACATATAGAAAACCTGCCTAATATGCGATAATTCCAGCATGATCTATTTACGACAAGAACTTATATGCGTGAGCACGTGTGATGTACGCGTCTTATGGCGGTGTTAATTGTGAGGAAAACCGGCTGCAAACTACTCATTATCAACAGAACCGACACAACGCAATAGTTCGTCTAGGCAAGGAAAAATAGCAGAAGAAAAAAAAAAATAGAACAAACAGGGATTCGAACCCCTGTCTGCGGCCCATAAAAATTTAGCTTCTCTTGGTTGTGTCACTAAGGCGGCAGTCCATCGCCATACCCAGGCCGCTGGACTATACCCCTGCTTATTTCTTGTTTCCGTACAGTTTTGGACTATTCTCAATCCAAACTCACATAGTACGGTCTTACAAAAGCTGTATCTCTGTCTCGGGTCAGGTTTGTTTCTATCTATACCTCAGCCTTTCGGGATATGCGGCTTTGCTGTTACTTGCCCGTTGTATGTGTTGATGTTCGTCACATTTTAGCCTTGTATGTTTCGATACTTAATCTACATTGATCGCAAACGTGTTTTGTGAGATTAATCTAACTACACATAGTTCTTAGGTTGGTATGTGTGAGTTTGCTCCCAGCAACAGATACCACCCAGACGAGGTGATGATGACGTAAGAAATTAAACGTAGTTATTGTTCTATGACCCAGTGAATGTGCAACAGACCATCTCATACTCTAAGGTGGTCTTGACACTAAAGGAATTATTCACACTGAAACCCACAATGTGTAAATGAGTGGCAAATCCCTCCGTCCTTACATCCTGGGAAGGTCTAGTGCGCTTTTGCAAGCATGTACTATAGTTCATTTTGCAAGGAGCCTGGACACCGGCCATTGTTATGATCTCTCACGCTCCTTTGTAAATTCTGAATTTAGTTCATCATGCTGACCTCATGAAAATGGAGCTTGATCAACAGTTTGAACAGGGCGACTTTATCCAAATTTGAACTTACTTACAGGAAAGGCCACCCAAGATCTTTCTCACTCAGGAACACCTTACTCCTGGTGCGCCAGCATAGGATTGGTTTATTAGCTTAGAAGGACATTCCAAGCAGAGATGATTAAATTGGTATGCATGAGTAGTAGTCATATTTATTGAGGAGTATAGTATGAATCTATAATATGATATTATCAGTCAGCCGCACTTGAAAGCGTTGATTGGCGCAGCAACTATTACCGTCGCAGTAGAATTTCTGGCAGTGTCATTGATGATTTAATTCCATTCAAAGAATTTGAAAAGATACATCTTCTTTTCAAACGTAAGCAGAACGGTTGTTGCCTAGGCAGATGGCTGCTGATCCCCGCTGATGACTCACCACAAAAGCACACAGCCTTATCTTCACCGTCCGTGTTCTCAGCCAATAAGGCAATGACACAGCCCGTCACAAGTCAACTACTTATCGAAGAGATAATAGAACGTCTTTTCTAAGCTTCAGGCTCTTTAGGGATACATATAATTCTTATTCTTTGCCCCGACAATCTAATAACCACTGTCACTATCTAGGCAGACTTGTTCGCCAATATAACGAAATGATATCCTGCGCTACCATTCCCGTGACAATCCCAAAGAATAGCCCAGGTGGCCTAATACCCAAGGCCGCAGCCAAAATCATCATCAGCACATTCCTCCCCCGCGAATGGCCAGATGTGGATCCGGAGACCCTCACAGTGACACGCACCACCGGATATGCAAATACGAACAGTGTTGTGGAGCGACCGAACCCAACTGGCAGCGACACACCCCACGTGGAGCCATTCAAGGTATTCCTTAAGATCCACGGCGAACTTGACGGGGAAATCGAGGTCTTCGAGCATTTAGTTCCTAGCAAATTCGAAGAAGCGCAATTAAGTCATGAGTATGGTCAGTCTGGCCATGGGGCGAAAGTACTCGGCTTTTTTCAGACTCAGGATGATGTCTTCGGGAGGGTCGATGAGTACTTGGATGCACGTACCCTGGTACCACAGGATGTCGAAGACGCTGATACCCGAGGCGATGTTGCGAGAGCTCTTGCTACTTTCCATGCTATGGATACCACCATACTGAAGAGGAGCCCTGTACAGGCATACTATGATGCTGTCACCAGGGAACTTGGCAAGTATCACGGGATGGACAAGCTGAAGAGACTGGCACATGCAGGGGGCATCTGCTTGGACCATCTCGTGGATTATGACTTCGTGTATAGACTCCGACGGGTCATAGATAAGCTGGAATCAATCGGGACAAAGGAAGGATGGTGCATTCATGATTTCCAATTTATGAATGTCTTGGTGAGGAACAAGCCACAGGCAGGGGAAAGCAAAGTTGTTCTTATCGACTTCGAATTTGTGTTTCGCAATTACAGAGCCTTCGATATCGGCGCACACTTCTTGCAGAAGTTGTTCCAATGGTTCAACGAGGATAGTCAAATTGCCGATTGTCGACCTTATTCGGACGAGGAAAAGCGGCATTTTTGCGCGGAATATGCAAAACAGTGGAATCAGAAAACAGGTGACTCGGATACGGGGGAGCAGGTTTTCGCAGAGGCTGAGCTCGGGTTCATGCTGGCTATTACGTTTGAGATCCACAACATGCTGTGTTTTATGGATCAGGATGATGATAAAGATCCGTTGAATCTCTTGTCGCTTGATAAACTGTATAGGGAGTTCACCGACCAATATGTCAAGCTCGGGCTCGAGCGCTGAACAGTGTATGCTAGTGCGTGGTAGAGAGCTTTAATCTAGCCGTCGCTTCAGGCGTCAACACTGAGTCCTATGAGATCATCGATGAGGATGCGCCCTTGGGTATGCCTTGTGCCTTGCCCTGTTAGACATCATCATGCAAGTGCCAACCGCAGGGCGTACAACCCACATGGCTGATTGAAAGCGAACAGTTCACCCAATCCTGCATCCCAACCAGACGCTCATGGAAGTCCTACTACGTACCTACTGGCCATTGACCTCTCTACGCCGTTAAGACTGGCAGTGTGCTGGTTTCTGCCAAATTACTCTCCGAACTCAATAGTCGTCTTTGATACTATAGAGCTCCACCACAGGAGGCACAGCTGTTTTCGTTATAGAAAATTATGAAGTGCAATAAGACAAGATCTATTATTATAACCCTCCGTCTAGACAGATAGATCATCCCTGCTCTGCATCTCCTCCACAAGTTCAATAAAATCAGCATTCCCTTGCTTCGCTAGCTCTTCAAACTTCGGAGCATTAGACCTTAGCCAGCTAGCATCCTCACCAGCCTGCACTCCAAATTTCATTAGCTCCGATACGAAGAATAAATGCTTACTCATGGAAATCAATAACGGGTAGGAACATGAGGAAGTGCCGCTTACCCGAGGTAGTAAAAACCCATTCTCCGTGCCCGTAGTAATTGCGCCCAAGACAAACACCGCATTCAGCTGCCTCTCTTTGGACCTCGTCCCGTCTTTATTGATGACTCTATCCCATGTCTCCGAGACACGTTGGGCAAGCTCATCAAAATCAGCCGTCGTTCTCGTTCCGCCTGCCCGAACATAGGCCGTGATGCGGTTGATGGCACGCTACGTTGACAAGGAGGTGTTAAATTCCCTGGCTTTGATACTAAACAGAAACTGGTAGTTACCCACCTCCTTGCCCGCCACATAGTTATGCCGACTGTTGGCATCTATGAAGCGAATATTCACGAACAGGCTAGGGGTGGCAAATTTGCGGGTGTGGATGTGGGTGATGGCCTGTGCAAGCTCATGACGTTGTGATTTGTCCAGGGGGATACTGTGCTCAATCTCGTACAAGGGCATTTTGAGGATGGTTTAGCTTGCGGGTGTCCAAACGAACCTGCATGTATTTTGGGGCATTACTGAATTAGAAAGCTTGATGGTTGTGGTCAAGGTGCGTAGGATATTTAAATACCTTGATTCCCCGCATGAGCCCCTCACTTGACATGCCAATCCATGCAATCTTCTCTCGGCCGACTCTACGCAACGATATTCGATGCAATTCTGGATTGACGTAGTTCATAAGGTAATCGTAATTACCAGAATGTCCATTAATTGGGTGCTAAATAGGCATTCCGCTTTGCTGAATGTCTGGAAAGGCCTATCGTCACCCTGACAGTCGAGTAACTGCACGCACTGTGAATTAGTTCCCAAGTCGTCTGATATTTCACGAAAGGCTCAGATCTCAACCTAAATGTGCTATAGAACATCCTGTCGCTCTTTGCGGTGCGAATGAACGACCGTAAGGGCATACTATACACAAGCCAATCTCACCATCCTTGTCCGTATTGATGAACTGTCATGTCCACCGTCAGCCGTACTCCGGCTACTGACAAGGGTCCTAGCGGATATTACAGACAGACTACGTATGTCATCATGCCAATCAAAACTATGAAGTCCAATTTCCATTGTCTAAACAGGTCATCCTCAATCCGAGTCCTCAAAGTCACTATCCTTCCCTTCACCACCCTCCACGAGCACCTCATCCTCCCCCGTGAGCATCTTCATCCCGACCTCATTACCAACCATCTCCGCAGCCTGTAGAGCCGTGCCAAACTCTCCCTCAGCATCAACATCTGCATCCCACTCCAGCAACACTCTCGCAACGCAGCGATGACATTCCCAGCTGCAAGACATATTGAACTCAGCCTTCCAGCAAGTTTCCCTCCACTTCTGCGCCATCACCGCTACAAGCGGGGTTCCGTAATCTCCACCCCGCGCATTAATATCTGCACCCGCTGAAAGCAACAATTCCACCGTTTTCCAGGAGCCAGAAACGGCTGCTGCATGTAGGGCAGTTCCGTGTTCCCCTCCCATGAGATGAACATCAGCACCGTGGGAGATAAGGATATTGACGCCTTTGCTGTCCTTCTTTCTAGCAGCAATGTACAATAAGGTTTCGCCCGTCTCCGGATCCCTGGTATTCGGGGATACGCCTTCATCCAACAAATATTCGAGCATCTTTTTCGAACAGAAGGGAAAACAGTGTTGAATGAGACGAGAGCATATCTCCAGCCGCTCAGAGGGATTAATAAATTGCGAGTCAAGAATCAGGCGTGTGCAGGTGACATGTTTGCGGCTGATGGCTGTTTTCAACGCTTCTTCAACGATTGACGAGCTGTGTGTCGCGTACTGGAGCAAGACTGCGAGTATTTCGCTATACCCTTCGCTGGAAGCAAGGACTAAGGGTTCTTTATCATTCTCGCCATCCTCCTTGTCACTGAAGAAGAGTGGTGTCTTGAGCTTCAGTAGGGCCTCGACAGGAGGTAAGTTGTTTCGCACACCCTCCATTGCAGCCACGACGGCGCGTTTGATTTCTCCAGTTGATGGCTCATACTTTCCAGCCACGTAATCAATTTTATCGAGATCGCCCGTCTCCGATGCCCAAATTAAAAACCTCGGATATAGTTCAACGTGGTTGGCCACATCGTATTGACGCCGGTCCACTGCCTTCCAAGCATCAAGGCTTCCTCTCTGTACAACGTCCGGGACAATTATTTTGATCTTGCTTGGTAGATCATTTGACTCTGCCCCCGCACAAAGGAACATCCTGACCACTTCAATCCAATTTGGTGGGTTGGAACCCCACCAGGTATGGCGAAATTTTTGGACCTTTTCAATTGCAATGTCCAGACAGAGATTGCCATGCACATCACGGGCGTTCATGTCAGCCCCATTCTGAAGTAAAGCTTCGACAACGGCACTTCTACCCTGCTTTGTAGCTACCAATATTGCATCTGGCCAACGTTCTAGACCACAAAGCTCTAGTATCTGTGTCGCAATTCCTGCATATCCTTCTGCACAGGCATAATTGAACACACCATCAAGTTGTTCCGCTTGGAATCCTGCGCGAACTGCTTCTTGAACCAGCATTGTTGCAATGGATTCCTTCTTGCGGGCGAGGCTCGTCTCTACAGCAGATGTAAATGTGCCATGAATCGCATATCCCCACGGGTCGTACTGAAACAATCGCCTCGCAATAGACTCATAGCCCCAAAAGCATGCCGCGAACAATGGATTGCAAAGTAGCTTGCTGAAGTCGCATTCATCAGATGGGCCGGTCTGTTTCAGACGCAGCTTTCCTTTGGCATGGACATATGCTCCATTCTGGAGAAGAATATAGACTCCAGATTCATGTCCATGAACGGAGGCAAGGTGCAATGGTATCGCCACCAAATTTTCGTCTCGTTCAACTTCGCCACCTGACTCCAGGTTGTCGGGTCTGTCACCGGAGAGAATGGAATTGCCATCAACTTTAGCTCCTTGTTGGAGCAAAAAGTTCATCATGTGCTCGTCGCCATTCTTTGCTGCCAGGCAAAGCGCCGTTTCAGAATTTCCATCAGCTTCATCCACTCCTATACCACGATGAACCAGCAGCTTCACTATGTCAAGATGTCCGGCCAACGATGCAGCTTGCAGCGCGTTCCCGATATTCCGTCCACGCGATCTCACATCGGCTCCACTGTCAAGTAACAACTTCACAATATCAATGTGTCCTGCATTGCAAGCCACCTGAAGTGCATTGCCGTTTTCACCTCCACGATCTTCCACGTTTGCTCCGCGCTGCAATAGAAACTCGACTGTCTCAATATCTCCCCGCTCGGAAAATACCTGTAAGCAGGACCCAAACATAGTCCAATGCTTATCAATTTCCGCACCACGAAACAACAGCGCGTCTGCAACATCAAAATGACCCCCTTCCATGGCCGCCTGCAATGGAGTCCCTAGTGTCTGTCGTATCGCATCAATATCGGCTCCACGATCCAAAAGACACTGCACCACTCCGAGATGTCCCCAGAAAGCCGCAATTTCCAGTGCAGTGTACGCACATCCATTATGATAATCATTATCCTCTTCATTCGCGTCGGGTGCGTCGATGGTTGCTCCCTTGGCTATGAGCTTCTCAACTAACTTGACGTCGCCTCGTCTCGCAGCAATCTCTAGCGGTCCGAGCTCTGTAGGAATGTCTAGCTGTCCAGTTCCGTTCCTCCGGCCCGGTAACGCAAGTCTCTGCGTCCTCTCAGAGCAGCTGCATAAATATACCCTACCCTCTCGTCCTGGGTTGAGCTTAGCACCAGCCATCAATAGAATCTCAACAATCCTTTCATTGCCACTGTATACGGCAGCTTGTAGTGCATCGCGATACCGGCCTTTGCGGTCTAACGAAGCACCATGATCAATCAAAAGTCGAACGGCCTGTTCATGACCATTGAAGCAGGCAGCTTGTAGTGCATTACCGAAGTGCCCTCCACAACCGTCCACAGATGCATCGTGGGAAAGCAACAGAAGCATCATGTCCAACTTTCCAAAAGACGCAGCGGCTTGAAGTGGGTCACCTAAATCTTCATCTTTCGTATTAGGATCGGCGCCTTTATCGAGGAAGTATGTCGCAATATCAAGCTGATTAGTTATCGCAGCCGCCCGCAATGGCAAGCCAAAACGTCCACGAGCGTCGAGTCTGGCACCGGCATCAACAACCAACTGCACGAGGGCAAGTTTACGACTAGCAACGGCGGCAGCAAGAGCATTTCCGAAGTACCCTTTCTCTTCATTGATGTCAGTGCAGCTCTGAAGCAACCGCTTCGCTTGCCGTGCTTTGCCACCGAAGAGAGCAACCTGGAGAGGGTCAGGGCAGATATTAGGTGTGAAACTGCCAGCCTTGCCGTCTAAAAGGTGCTGGACTATGTTAGTAAATCCTTTGAAGCTGGCAGTATCTAAGGCATCGGCGAACTGCTTTTGTGTGACCAGCTGAAGCCCACTGTCTATCAAGATCTCGGCGATGTTATCATGGCCATTTGCTAGAGCTGCGTGGAGTGGACTTGAGTATTCACCCTTCTCAGTCGAAGAAAAAGTGGCACCACTATCCAGCAAGGCTCGCACGATATCTTCATGGCCACTAAATGCCGCTGCTTGGAGTGGACCTCCATATTGATACCCGGGTCCGTTGACATCAGCTCCCAGTTGAAGTAATTTCCGGACTACACCAGTGTGGCCCCAGCGAGCAGCGAGATACACGCCTGAAGTCCCATGCCTATTGGTTTGGTTCACATCGATCATCTCCATGACCTCTGGAAAATCTAGCACTTCGGAAAGGCCAAAACAGGAAACTGTGAACAAGGCCGATGGCGGTGAAGCAAAACATGCTTCGAGCTTTCTCTCAAGCGAGTTACTCCAACGATAGCCTTCTTCCACTGGACGTTCGTCGAGATGTTCTATCCAGTCTTCGAAGTGCTCTTCTTGAGTGAAAAATTCGGTCATTACTGCCTGAATTTCATGTCTTTGGTGCGATCCATTTAGCTGCTGTACGTGAGCGGGCCAGTATCTCGTTGCATAGTGTAGAAGACCATCTTCGCTGAACTCGCCCCAAAGAAAAGTGCCTAAACATCTCCGAGATACAGTCAAATTAGCCTCAAGAATGGCGTCGTTGGAATTTTTTTCCAGGAACCTGTGTATGAGCTGTCAGTTCTGTACTTTTTCGCTTCGAGTGGACAAGAATTCTTACTCTCGGACCGTGACGTGCGCTAAGCGGAAAGTGTCTGCCACGTTGTCAATGACAACCAAATTGCAGCAGTAGTCGATGATTGACCTCGCTGATATAGAAGTGCATTTCACCGGGGATTTCCTGACAGCCGCAAGGAATTCAGACACTGAGAGTTTCCTTTTCGCGCATAATAGCCACTGAAGGCTTTGTAAGGCGACCGTCCTCGGGCCTTCACCCATGTCTTGGATCCGTTTATACAGGAGTTCGTATGATTGATTCAATGTTTGCGGTAGAGACCTCAATACTTGGCGGATACTGTCGATATCTTTGATTCGTTCCATATCGCAAATACGTTCGAGCTGGAGCGTCACCCAGAGGAACCTGCTACTATTAGCATCATGTGTTGTGACAGCAACGCTCTGGATTTACTCGCATTCCATGTGCGCCTGCCGCGAGTGCCTCTCTTATCTCCTTCTCAAGCTGCTGCAACAACTGTATAGGCTCCTCGTGTATTGTAGACCACCTCTGCACAAAGGACTCGACCTGGATCCCAATAAACCGGTTCAGATCTTTTTCATTTGCGGAAGCAGTCACCTCTGAGACTTCTCCTTCATTAAAGTGAGCTGCAATGTCTGCTTCATGGCGACTGGACACGAAGATCTTGACAACATCTCGACACTGGCGTCGGATTTCTTGAAGAGCGTGAATAATAATGCCACGCTGTTGAGAGTTGCACTCGTCTAATGCATCTATGACAATCGTAAGCGGAGTTGCCCGGCCAATTTCACACATGAGCTCAGTGCACTCTTCCACTGTAAGTGGCGCTGGCCTTTCTCCGGTGTGGCTCGCTTCTGCTCGTCGTTCTTGATAGGTTTCAACTGAAGGAAGTCTTATTGTCTTTTCACCTTCAATGAGTGAAACCTGTTTAAGCAGCGATCGTAGTATTTCGCGAGCATCGCTGCGTTCCGGCTCTGCAGGGTTTCGCGAACAGAAAAAATGAGCAATTGGTGCTGGTTGGGATACACCACTGCTCTGCCGATGTAAATGATCGATTACGATCGCGCTGGATCGCGAGTCAGATCAGTGGAGGACTACACTTTCTGGATTGGAAGCTTACGTGAGCCTTGTTTTCCCACATCCCGCTTCATTCTCTGTCAGCTTATAATGGCATGTATACCAAGTATGTCTAGTTGGAACTTACGTATTCCATGTAGCCAGAAGGTTTCTGAACTATTCGAATCTTTCCAATTAACGAAGCGTGGCTCATTCAAAAGCCACTCACCGGATCCAGGAAGTACAGAAGTCAATGCTTCCTTGTAATGTTGTTGTATGGTAACAGTGGAAAGCCACTGTAAAAGTTCACTTCTCTCGCTTTCTAAGTGAAGTTAGTACTGGTCACTTATTGAATTTAGTAGGGATGGGACCTTTGAGAGCAATATGCAGATCAGATACCTCATCCGCGATCCTAACAATAGGTTGATCGAGATCTGCAAATGCCTTGTCCAGTCGTGTCTGTATATTGTCGACACCGTTCGCGACTGAAGCGATGGTAAAGAGCATTGTCGAAACCCCACCATGAACGCTTTCCATCCCTGACAGAGGGTTTTAAATTAGTTGTCAACGTAAGGTGATCTCGCGAAAGACTTACGTTCGCTATCAACTAGACCCTTCATCACAAGTACCCGCTGCTCTGCAACCTCCATTTCTTTGACCGAGTCTTGGAGAGACTGCCGAGAGGTAAGGTTTAGAACACGTTCTATATGTTCATCGTCAACAGACAAAAGCTGCGTTGGCTTCAAGGGAAGATTCCGCCTACTCATGCGCGATCCATCATAGTGTTTTTTGGCCTTACAAATGAAACCCAAGACCGCCGAATACAGCTTCACCAGTTCCTCTTCTAAGCCTACCTTCGCATCATTCGTTGCACTACTATTCCGGATGACCAGGGCTTCGAGTATGCCGCAACGGGCTATCAGTCGAGTTGCTTTTTCAAGGCCCTCCACTATGGCACCAAAGGTCTCGAACGCCATAAATGTCAACTGCAGCAGGAAACGCACACCCGCCCAGGGTAATGCAGCATGAGCAGGGTCAATTTGGACAGCTGCATCTACCACCTCCATGAACTTCTTAACATACGCAACTATCTTGGAACATACGTCGCGAATGACAATCTCTTTGCCCCCGATGCTGACCGTGGTCCATTCGTCTCTTTTGCATCGGTCGCGCTGTGTCTCAAGCGCTACCAGGATTTCGGTCAAGATCTGTTTGGGATCTAAAGGCGACGTATCGGGGAGCTTGAAAATCCGCCGGTCTTTCTCAGAAAGAGTTGAGAAGGCGATGGCCCAAAGCGAGGGCGTTGGGGTTGCGGAGATGGTCATTGTGAGACTGGCTTTTCCAGCAGTTCTCTGCCAAACGTACGCTCACAGCATCACAACCACAATATAATCCGAAGGCGTGCCCTTTGGGTTTTATGAGACGTGGACGAGGAGGCGTCAGCGTGCAGAAGGAATGTAAGCAGAGATGTGGCAGTGCAATCAGGCTGGCAGATCAGATCCGAAACTTGAAAGGAGAGCCTCGTCCGGTGCCCCTCGTATCCAAGGTGGGGGCCCAATCCTGCGATGATCCCATCTCATCATGATGCCCAAACGCTCACTCAGATAGTTACCGCCACTTGCATTCCATCCAATATATAGCATATAGCGAGCTAGATACATGAGATCCGCGACATCGAACCGGGTTCAAGGTACAGTGACGATAGCTAATAGTCCGACAGAGGCCTGCAGTACGTAAATAACGGCCCACACTGGCAACAAGGGTGAGAGGTACCATACTACTGTATAGATTGGTGGATAGATATCTGTCCATAGATAGCCCAGGTTAGAGGCAGAAAGGTGGTTTGAGATGCCTGTAATCCACCATACTCAGTGCACCTAGATTAACACAAGTGGTACGTCTCGATGCGTTGAAATTAAGGGTGTCAAGACTACAGACGAGCTGACCTAACAAATATATCCTACATCTAGATCAGAAAATCAAGCCGATATCCTACGCTAATTCGTGATGAAATCCAGGTTCCATGAATAGACCTTTCGTTTATTGAATATGATAGCCTTTGTTGATTGGTTCCCCGACCGTTCAGGGCAAGTTGCAAGAGAGCTGCCGAAGCTTTGGTTGATAGCCCTTGGTGTGCCTTCACATAGGGGGATCCACTCCAAGAAGTTTACTTGGCGTATATATGCCATCGACGACCCCAGTACATCCTCCCAAAAGCGCTCCATCATCCATATCCCAAATTGATCCCTTTCCTCCAAGCTCATATAGTTAATATAACCTCACATGACTACAACACATTCTAAGCCACACCATGTCCGAAACCTTCTTTACAGACCTCTACGGTGAACACAGCGGTCGCCATCCCTCCATGGGAGATCTAAAGAATCGCCTTTCCGTGCAAGTTAAAGAAAAGCTTGCTAACGAAATGGCCGACGACCCTCGCACAGCCTACCTCAACTATGAAGGAAGAATTCGAAAGGTCAAGGAACATGGCAAGCTTTACGAGAACCCGTCTCACGAGGAAGTCACCTATGGTCCGGATGGTTCTGATACCGGCAGACACGGTTGGCGCGGCTGGACTACTGCCCATTTACGGGTGACCTTTGATGCTGCGGATATTTGATCTCCTGCCATTTCCTATTACTGGCTTTAAAACAAATATCGAAGGGGATTCGGAAAGAGAGGGGCTAATGCTGCTTTTGTGGTTGAAAGTAATTAAGAAATTGGTACTTCCAAAGGCTCGAGTCAAGTCATTTGATGTTCCTCTTTTTTTTTTTTTTTTTGGCCCCTCTCTCTCTCTCTTTCTTGTGTTGTGATTGTTTGGCTTCATGATATCAAAAGCTCAGCTACCGGGAAATTGTACTATCTATTCCCATCATTTCTGTGCAGATGATTATCTTATTACATGTGGACAGATTGAAAGTGGTACTCTACCTGCTCCCCACAGTAGCCGCAAATATATATCGGGTTTGGTCTTGGCGGAGCTCAGTCATCAATATCGCATTTAATTTGTTCGACTACTAGAGGCCAATAAGCTTGTCTCAAAGCTTAAATTAACCCGCAGTATTCGTAATCCCTAGACCTTTCCACCAAATAACTGAGTGAGCGGAGACTGCAGCCGAATACCAATTGACGGGAGGGTACACTTCACCCCTACCGTGGTTCTCGGCACCGAACACGAGCTAATGGGTATCATTCCATTAAATATCCGATAATCCCTGAATGCCGACATTTTGATTTGAGACCTCTGTGATAACCTTACTTAAAGTGACACATACGAGTCAGTGCCATGGATGGAAACGTCCCTCGTGTTGGGTTCCAGTAAATTATCCCCGGATCAACCACTCCTAGTGGCTACTGTACTAGTAAGTAGCGGACATACCTAATCGTATCTAGCCATAAATACGAATACTTCTAAGCTCATGGACTATTTTGCGGATGCGATCGAAGTCGTGCTGGAGGTTCTCACATCGAATAGGATGGTTCTTATCAGCGTTCTTGTCACAAATACATAACTCGACACCTGCTGTTACAGCCATCAATGACCTACTCAGATATACCACATAGTTATTACTACTTCAATTACAGGAACCAAGCATTGAAACCACCTACACACCCTCGCACCCACCCCCGACCAAACAACTCCCTCTTAAATCGCCCAGACTCTCTCCAACCCAGAATCTAACCCCCTCCCCACCCACAGGAACCCTCCAATCCTGCACCTCAACATCCCAAATACTCACATCCTTCCTCGTAACATTTAGCACCACCGTCTGACTGTCCCCGGGCTCCAGGATCCCCGTTTTCTCAAACTGTCTCAGCTGCCGCGACGGCGCATCTACCCCCAGTGTATCAGTCGGTAGCTCGACATACAGCTGGGCCACAGCGCGACCACTAACGTTCCCACTGTTTGTGATAGTTACGTCTACCGCGAAGGCAACATCCCACAGGGCGGGGTTTCCACCGGCGCCACCACCAGCTCGGGGTGCAGGTTTCGGAGTGGTGGAGTAGCCGGATGGATAGGGGTATGAGGATGAAGAGGAGTTGGTGACGGATTGCGGGTTGTCGAGATATGGGTACAAGTAGCGCCAGATACGAGAGAAGGAGGATGGCCAGGCGACCTCGGATGGGTTTGGGATGGCGGTGCTGTACGATGGGGTTGGGCCTTTGGAGGGGCGAGCTGGGGGGTAGGCAGTGTCGAGGTCGGTGACGGTGGTGAGGGATGGAGTGGAGTAGGTGAAGGTGGTGTAGGAGAGGCCGTGACCAAACGGGTAGCGTGGGGTGATGTTGGCTTTGAGGAAGTGGCGGTAGTCGATGTACAGGCCCTCGGTGAAGTCGTCTTGAATTTGTCCGAAGGCTTGGTCGAGGAGACCGACGCTGGATGGGTAGTCGGATTCTTTGTAGGGGATGGTGTAGGGGAGGTGGCCGCTTGGGGAGGATGAGCCGAAGAGGATGTCGGTTAGGGAGTAGCCTGCTTCTTGACCGGGGAGATGGGCGATGAGGACGGCTTTGACGGGGTCCAGATCAATCCAATTCTCGAGGAGAATAGGGCCGACGGTGTGGACAATCACGATGACGGTGGAGAAGACGTCCGCTGCGGCTTTGACGAGATCGTCGCCGTTGTGCCAGGCGTAGAGATCTGCGGTGGTGCGGTCACCGGGGTTGTTTTCGACGGTGATGTAGTTTTCGCCGGAGTCGGCGTTGATGAAGACGAGCGCGATATCAGAGGCATTGGGATTGAGGTTGGAGGGGAACGAGTCAGTGATGTAGAATTCTGCGGAGGAAGACAGATTGGCGATGGCTTGTTGGGGGGTCACAAGATATGGGAGACGAGACGTGCCACTACCCCAGCCCATGGTGAG